CTGATCTTGCAACCCATCTAATAACCCTCTCCAAAGTTCTTAGATTAACAAATATATCTCTAACAATAACAGCATAAACAATTGGGCATGACTCAACATTATTGATCCAGTCCACTGCCACCTTACTGTCACTCTCAATAAGCAGCCGCTCCTTAACCATCCCTTGAAAAGATGCAAAAAAAGATAAACCCCTTTGAGTAGCTTTGAGTTCCATCAGTGTAGGAGGTCCAGAACTAGCAGACTCCTTGAAGGAGCCTAGAATTGAACCAACATGATCCCTAAGAACACCACCAAGACCATTTTTCTTCCAATCACTGGTGGTGGCAGCATCAACATTCAATTTAATGAAGCCCAAGGGAGGAGGGGTCCAAGGGACAATAGGTGACTTACAGTAATTGTTAGATGCGCAAGAATCCCCTAATGAAGGATCGGAAATTAGAGAATCCTTAGGAATAAGAATCTCCTTATACTTAGCTAAGAACCAAGAAGCAAGCCTGAATCTTGCTAGGAAAAATAATTATGTCTGATCAAGCTTCCCCCCTTCAAAAACAATATAATTCCTGACTTTCCAAACTGTCCACAGAACAGCCCCAGGGATTAAATTCCAAATAGCTGAATCTTTCTTCAAATCGTCCCAAGCAATAAGAAAAGATTTTGCATCAGCATGAAAAACAGAACTAAATTTCCAAAATTTCATAAACTTATTCCATAAGGACCACACGACCGAACAAGTAAAAAATAAATGCAAAGAAGACTCCTCAACCACCTTACACAGAGGACATAAACCATCCTCAATGCCTTGAACTCCTCTTTTTATCATCAGTTCTTTCTTAACAGCCAACCTCTGAAGAACGATTTGCCACACTAAAGTTTCTGCTCTAGGGGGTATCGAACCCCTCCAAACAATATTCTTCCAGAACTGAACTTCTTCTGAACCTATTGAGCAACTTTTAACGCAAGAACTGACTGTGTAAACACCATCCCCACTACCTTTCCAAATCAATCCATCACTACTATCTCTTAACAGAGAAAATTTTGATATAATGCTCATCAAATTACACCATTGTTCAAGCTCCCAGTCATTTAAATTTCTTCTCACTTTTACATCCCAAAGCTTGAAAATCACCATACTCACATAACTTGCCCGATTTATTAGTAGAAATCAAAAACAGTCTGGGGAAGAGAACCTGGAGCGGATAATCTGCAACCCAACTATCTTGCCAAAATCGAATTAACTTGCCATCACCAACCTGAAAACTGCACAAATTTCGAAAGTTGGAACCAAAGAAATCATCTTTGAAATGGTTGGTAACCACTGTTTTCCAAAGCCAAGAAGCTTGAGGAGAAATCTTTCTTTCAAACAATAACATTGATGAATCAATGTTGTATTTGCTACAAATGAATTTCCTCCACACAGAACCTCTCATTTGCAAACCTCTAAGACCATTTCCCTAATAGTGCTCTATTCATGCTCGTAAGATTTCGAATTCCCAAACCTCCCTCATTCTTTGATTTACACACTTCTGTCCATTTTACTCGGTGAATCTTTTTAATACCATTACATCCTCCCCATAAAAAATTAGACATAATTGAATTGAGAGACTTGAGAATTGATGCTGGAATTTTTAAACAATGACAGAAAATAAGTGGGTAGTGAGCTAAGGACAGATTTTACCAAAACCAATTTCCCTGCTAGTGATAGGTTAGAGGCCTTCCACCCTGCAAGTTTTGATTGAAAATTCTGGACCACCGGATTCCAAATAGATGAAGAATTCTTAGAAGCACCTAGCGGAAGGCCTAGATAATTAGAAGTAAAACTTCCGACTGCAAAGTCTATCGAATCTGCCCAACTTTGAACCTCTTCTTGAGATGTGTTAATGCCGAACAATATGGTTTTCTTAAGATTTAATTGAAGGCCTGACATAACCTCGAATACTCTAAGAAATCTCTTAACATTCAAAATCTGAGTCTCCGAAGCTCTACAAAAGATAATTAAATCATCGACAAATTGTAAATGAGTTAAGTTAAAGGACCCTTCCTCCTTGCCAATTACTATACCAGAAAATAATCCCTCCAAAACTGCCCTGAGAATTAATAAGTTCAGCAGTTCCCCTACAAAATTAAATAATAATGGAGATAGGGAACAGCCCTGTCTAAGACCCTTTGCTAATGTGAACTCCTCCGAAGGAACCCCGTTAACAAGCATCGAAACTGAAGCTGTAGTAACACACTTCCTAATCCAACTGATCCAAGTAGAGCCAAAACCCAATTTTCCATCACCTGGAATAGAATAGGCCAGTCAACAGTATCATCGGCCTTCCTAAAGTCAACTTTTAGAATGCAACCCTTAAGCCCTTTCTTCTTCCAATAATCAAATTCCCTAGTTAGCAATGAGCGAACAATCCAAAATTTGTCGACCGGGAATAAAAGCAAATTAAGTCGGACTAATAATATCTGAAATACAACTTCTCAACCTCCTGGATAAACACTTGTATAAAATCTTGTAAACTCCTCCCACTAGGCTTATCGGTCTATAATCATCAAGACACCCGATGTTAGGACCCTTAGGAATAAGGGTGATAAATGTATGATTAATACCATGTTCCCACTCTTTCCCCAAAAAGAAGTTGTGAAAGAAATCCATAATGTTTTCCTTAATGTCAGACCATAACCTATTGAAAAATCCCAAGTTAAATCCATCAGGCCCCGGAGCTTTATTACTATCACAAGACTTTAAAGTCTCCCAAACTTCCTCCTCGAAAAATTCCTTCTCTAGACAAGAGCTTTGCTCCAAAGAAATTCTAGAAAAATTCAGCCCTATATCTTCGACATCCAAAGTATAGCGATCATTGTAAATTTTAAAGAAATGATCTTTAACAGTGGCCTTGATAACAATAGGGTCATGAATAAAATTCCCGTCGACTATAAGAGCATTCATCGCATTTTGCTTTCTCCTAATTGTAGCGCACGTGTGAAAGAATCTGGTGTTTCGATCTCCATCCTTAATCCACTTAGTTCTTGAATTTTGATGCCAAATCTGTTCTTCAATTCTGTGTAGTCTCCATAACTCTGATCGACAGGATTTTAATTCCTCTATTATCCCCTGAATGGAACTGTCATGGGCCTTCTGAACATCCTCCTCTAGCTTTTGAATTTTCTTTTCTAAATCTGAAATTGAAGCTCCAAGAAACTGGTTTTTCGACCCAGTCCATTTCTTGATGTTTAATTTAGAAGTCTTCGAAATATTCAGAATTCCAGCTTTTCTCCTAGTCTTTTTACAATCTCTAATTGAAAGACTAACCAAATCCTCAAAACCTTCTTCCTCCATCAAATAATTGAAAAGTCTAAAAGGTTTTTTACCTCAATTCATTCCTCTGTTTTCTAGAAGAATAGCATTGTGATCTGAAATAGACTTGGGAATTAATGACTGCACAATATCCGGAAAAGCAGCCAAAAACTGACCATCCACCAAGAACCTATCCAATCTAACAAACGTGGGAGCATCTTGATTATTACACCAAGTGAGCGTGCCTCCAGTCAACGGCATATCAATTAAACCCGAGGACTGAATAAACCGACTGAAAATTCCCATAGAAAATCTGTTTTGAGCCTTTCCCACCTTCTCATCTTCACACAAATAGACATTGAAATCCCTCCTACACAAACCGGCAGATTCTGGCCAGTAATGAACAAGGTGAGTTCTTCCAAAAAACCTTCTTTCTCATCCTCCACAAAAGGCCCATAAACATTAATGAGAACACTTCTAAACTTATTAGAACGGAACTTGCCAATAACAGCAATGAATCTTCTATTAATACATTGATTTTCCATCTCAAACATCTTATTGTCCCAGCAACAAAGTAATCCCCCTGAAGAACCTACTGCCGGAGATTCAATAACACCTTGAAAGATATTCAGTCCGTTTCTTCTTAGAAAATACCTCAGAGTCTTCTCGGATTTAGTCTCTTGTAGCCATAGAAAATAAGGATTAGTGTTGGAGACAAATCTCTGAACCGCTCTTTGTTTTTCTTTTTTACCCAAACCCCTAACATTCCATGAAACAATAGATAATTTGTCCTTCATAATTGATGGTTTAAAAACCAAAACTCCCTTAAAGCTCCTCAATTGGCCATATCTAACCATGTTATTATCAGGGTAATAAGAAATAAGAATCATTTGATAAATAAATATATTAATCCAATAGTTGTAGACCCGGAAGCAATTAAGGTAATCAAATTAAAAGAAAATATATATATATATATATATATATATATTATTTAGATCCCGGTTTAATAATGATAATAACATTATTATTATATTTATATTATGAAAAAAGCATCAAAATAAATGCTATTAAGAATGTTGAAAAAGTATCAAAATAAATGCTATTAAGATTGTTCAATTATTTATACTCACACTACCAATGTATCCTCACTTTCTCTTCAATAATATGTTATAAGAAACACCTATAGATTACTCACATTTATCACCTGATGAAACAAAATCATTATCACAAGATCACCTTACCAATGAGATCTATAATTTGATCCATATCAGTCTTAATATTCTGAGTATTCTAGGCCGTTTTATGACACAAAGCCATGAGATTGTTATTACAGTTGTCAACCACAGCTGACATGCAAAATCAAATACATTTAACAATTCTACTTTTTTGGATAAACTACGTGGGAACAACTCAGTTGAATAGTTTAAAATAGAAATCTTTAACAATGAAGAAAATATGCAAAAAGCGGATGAGCTTCTATCTTTGAAAACGAGGGTGGACCAATAGAAAGCACTTTGAAACTAACAATTAGGTTAATGTGAAAATAGCTACAAAAACAAACTATTAAAAGTCAATATAGATAAGAGGAAAACAAAGATGGGGAAGAGAAGCAAGAAACCATTATCATATGAAACTCAATTTCAACCAAATAACACAAATAGTTAAGCAACTAGTACAATACAATTAATAACAAATAAGATTACTAAATTCTCACCGGAATAACAGAATAGAAGCCGTTTGGAATTGGCTCAGAAAACATTTCACTGCTCCAAAAGACTTGTGATGCTGTCTGAGATGACAATCCATCTTGCTCAAAAGTCTTAGGCGATTCCCTATTACTAATACTCTCTTCCTGAGAACCTAAAGAAACATAACCAAATTTTTCAATGAAATCTGAAGACCACCATGTTGCATTAGAAGGCCCTTGATCCACTGGACCAGCATCATCTCGTGTCTCTTCCATATCCTTAAATATTTAAAATGCAAAACCATATCCGCCCTTACTTCTCAACCCATAAAAGATATTTTCTATCTAGGAATAGTTTACAGGAAACAAGTCATTTGATGACAAGCTTATTTTCTACTGACTCGCTTGAGCTGGAGGCCATCAGACCTGAGGAGAGAAGACCATTCGAAAAAATAGGTAAATTCTTTACTTCTGAATTCAATAAATACACAAGAGTCGAGCATCCATTATCAAAGGGAAAACACCTACAAGAAAATGAAGAAATATGCACAAACCAAGATAAAGTAGTGAGCAACAAGAAAGTCTTCACTCTTCACCTTCCTTTAAAAAGCCTTTGGTCTAATTAAACAGCAAACATATGCATACATCAAGAATTTGCAAATACCATTATTTCACATCAACAAGCCTATCTAATAAATCATTTTCTATCAAAATCACAATCATCAACCACCAAATATTTAGAAACAATAGGCAGATCCCCCAAAAATTAGGGGAATCAACTCATTTCTAGTTAATTCTTATCCACTAAAAATAAATTCATTCCAAGTTAGGAAATCAATTGGAATTCTCAAGTGATAAATCATCCGATAAACAAATATACATCAAATTTTAAGATCTGCAAACATAAAACCTAATAAGTAAACAGATTCTTGAAACGAATCAAAATAAGCGACGCATTCTCGAAATTTTACACTTTAATCTGATTCTCTTTTGTCACTGACAATGGATAATCCCAAACGCTTGGTCTTTCCACGACCGAAAATAAAATCAATACAGCCCAAACACGAAAAATAATAAATCCCTCAATCAAATATAGCTCGTTTCTTAAATCTATAAAACTAAGGGGAGAACGGAAATGAAAAAGAGAAACAGAAAAGATGTGAATGAAAGGAAGTGAAATAACGATTTTACCTGCAGCAGATCCCTGCATTTGAATCGGAAAGCGATTGCATTTGAATTGCAACTCCACCGTTCGTGAATTAATCCCATCCTTTAACACAAACTCATCGAACAAAAAGATAATAATAAATTATTTATTATGTTAATAGAAAATAGAAATGTAAAGCGAAAATACAAATGCAAGCCTAAAGGAGAAGGGAACGAGGAAATGGAAGAGAGAAAGAGAGATTGAATTTTTTTGGATTTAATAATAAATAAGTGTCGTGGTCGTTTATTAATTCTTTGCTATTGTTGTTTATTCGATTTCGATCGATGAAGAAAACGATGGCTTCTTCTTTCTTCTCTCTCTTCTGAGTTTTTATGGTAGGAGAGAGAGAGGAGGTGGTCAGTCACGTGCCGGGAATCTGGTGACCTTTCCCCGACAGTCAGCTGGCAATCGAGTTGGCTCTCATCATCTTCACTCGCGTGAATCACCCATCCTTTATTTTTCTTTTCTCTTTTCGTTTTTAATTATGCAATTAAAAATTAATATAATGTTATTTTGTTATGATAATTAAAGGGATAGTGTCCAAACTTAATGAATTGTGACTTTTTTTTAAAAAAAATTGAGATTATATTATTTAAAAAGTAAATTACATGGGTGGTCCTTTATATTTTTAGATTCGTTTGATCATTTACGTTATCGATCCGTTCAATTTTAATTCATTGAGGGTAAACTCTCATTAACAGATGTGTAGTAACGGAGGAGTGGCAGTTTTATCTGATTTTTTTTTATTGTCGACTTAGACTTCTGTTAAAGGGTTAACGAAATTAACGGCTAAGGGATTAAAATCAAATGAACAAATAACGTAAGGTAGCAAAACCATGTTTTTAACCAATGACCAAAATTAGACGGACCGAAAATATAATGGATCATTTGTGTAGTTTACTCTATTTTAAAAAGGGGTAAACTATGAGAATAATCCCTTATGTTTTTTGTCTGACCGACTTTGGTCATCAACTTAAAATTAAAGGGAAATGGTCCCTAACATTATCGATCTATTCGATTTTAGTCCCTCAACCGTTAACTCTCGTTCAATTTTAGTCTTTTAACCATGTTAGGGACTTAAACAAAGGCGGTTAACAGAAATTAATAGCATAGTGTAACATCCTTAACCCGTATTCGAACTTGAATACAAGATAAGGATGTCACATTATTTTCGTACTAATGTTCCCTACTTCCCACCGATGAAAATTTTGCTTCTTTCAAAACTTCCAAATTTAGCAATTATTATTAAACTGTTTAAACACATAAAATCATAATGAAATATTTTATTTTCCAATTTTATCGGATTTAACTTGTTGTGACGATTAGGAAGGTCTATATTATTTCATATCACAATTAATACTCTCTAAAAATAATCTAATTAATCCTTACAATAATTTATTACTACTTATACATAACCACTTAACCACTTATCATATTTTCTTCTTTCTTTATTACGATTTCTCATATTATATTACTCTACGATTTTAGCACAAATTTTATTATATATTTTTACATCGCCATGTATATATAACATTTGTAATATCTATAATTAAATTTATTAAAACATCTCCTTTATGGTTATTGTCTACCGCCACACAACCACCCACTAACAATGACTATTATCACAGTTCCACATTAGGCACGTAAATTTCTTAAGTTAAGTACATATGGTTTGTCCTTAATCCATTCACAATTTAGATTAAACGATCATTATATAATTATGGAAGATATTAATTAATATAAAATCTCAAAAAAATATGAAAACATCAATATCGTGTAACCCCCTCATACCGATACGGGTAACCCGATCCGATCTGGAGTGTCACATTAGGGCCACCAGAGCGACCCACTGTAAAAATAGCAGAAAATTTAAAACTTTTATTAAAACATGTAACTTATAAAATGATTTATCAATATACAGAAATAAAACAGATTTTCAAACTCAAATATTAAAACAAAATACAATTACATGCCCCCTAATAACATATATCATACTCTGTAAGCAATGCCGGAAGATCTTCCTTACTGATGTCGATAGATGCACTGGTACGATTCTTTTAACTTGAAAAGGTGAGTAACAGAGTGAGCTTCGAAAAGCTCAGTAATACAGAACTATCAGATGATGTTGAAGAACGTGCATATACAGATAAACATATATTTCCTTATTGGTTCAGATATCTACAGATTTCTTTGGTTGAGCTGAGGTCCATTGATATCGCAGGTAGTAACAGATAGTATTCATTTCATATGGAAATATTTCGGATGTCTAGGTTCAGGAGATCAGAATAGGTTTTCTAGTGTTTTCCCGTAAAACCAGTAAAAAGATACAGATCTTTTAAAACATATATATATATATATATATATATACCCCCATCCGTTCACATCATAAATGTGTAGGTTCCCTAGAACCATACATCCAACCGCACATGCCATTTAGACCCTGAGCACAAAGCCGAGGAGTCTGCAGATAATCTTCCTGCAACAAAAAACCCCCCAGATAAAACATTTCTCCGTCGTTAAACGGAGATATCAAAAATCAAAACATAATTCATATCAGATATCAAAATAGAATCCAGGTTAGGAATCAGAACAGATTTCAGATCAAATGTCAAAACAGAATTCAAATCAGAAATCAGATAAAATATTCATATAAGTAGGGAACATATTAAAGTTTCCAGATATTATTTAGAGATACAGGATAATCTTATCGGCCAGAGAAACACAAATCTTGAGTTTACCGATAGAATGTCAGAAATTGGAATCACTATTAGAAGAGTTTGTTAACTGACAAAATCATCAGTTATTCATAATATGCTTATCATGATCATCTTATTCGGGCATTTATCGGAAGCTCTACGTAATCAGAAGGGTATTCAAAATCCTTTATATATGAGTTACTTATGTTTTCATACATGACCAGAGTGATTTGAGCTGATAAGGAATAACGAAGATTCAGGACTTTTACAATCTATGTCGATTGATCAGATTATCGAACAACACTTAGATGAATAATTCCCAGAACTAATGCTTATCGATGGTTCAATTCATTGTTCTTCCAGGGTATTTACTCTTTAATACCACAAATTCTTGTCCATAGATCATTTTCGGAATCATCGCTGAATAGATATTCCAATGTCTTTATTTCATTTCCACGCTTCCACAATATCATGTAATATTGGCGTACTTGATTATTTTGTTCATAACTCATTGAAATTGTATACTATGTAAACTCATCAGAGTTTCCAGACTTATCCAAATCACTTACTAAATCCTCAGTCATTGAGATTACCTAGTTCATTTAGCAGTCATATCCATTCCAGTTACTTCGGGATTTTTCAGAGTAATTCAAACGTTCCTGAATTTCAGATACATGTTGTATTTTCGTTCCATTCAATTTGGTCTTCGTGGTTGATTTGTCAAACAAACGTCCAATTCTTAGTACTGAATGCGATCTAGAGTTGAACTGAGCTGAACACTTCCAAAATTTATCATATAGCCAAACTTGAGAAAATGAACATGCATTCAAGTAATATATATGACATCCAGGTATTGACATAGCTTTAGGGTTGATCTACTGACTTAAATTATGTTCCATTACTTTTAAAGGTATTCCAACACCTATGCTTATTTGGATTCCTTAATTAATCCAAGACATTTACTTAGTTTAGACCATAAGGTTATTTTGGTAATTTTGGTGTTCAATTTTATTCCATTAATTTCAGAGCTCGAGGATATCCAATCATTCCTGAGCTTGGGTCATTTCCATTACAGGGGTAATTTGGTCATTTTATAGATCTACGGTATTTCAATCTTTTCCTTCCATCCGATCTTATTATTTAATTCAATCTTATCATTTACTTCAGTCCTTTCGAACAATTCTGACAGCAGAATACCCCCGATAAATTACTCTTCAAGTATTTACTCATTATTCGAATATTTTCGGGTCAAGTGTCTTATCAGATTTTACAAACCGAATATCATGAATTTTTCTGTACAAAGACAGGATCTTAACAATTAAATTCGTACTTAATCGAGTTAAGTACAAATCCTTAAAGTACTTTCTCATTCAAGGTCAATTTAGACTATTTTATCTCTCAATGGCATTTTCGTAATTTCTTATTCAGGTAATTTCGATATTAGCTCTTAACGAAAATAATTATAATTTAAAGATCCTATGGTTAATTGTTTTCCCGAACATTCTATGATCTTGAAATGATTCCTTAACAGACTTCTAGCATCTTGCTCAAACCCTCATGGGGTTAAAAACCGGTTATCCGCATTTCCTAAGCAAAACTAACATTTCTTATGCACATCAGTAATTTTTACCGGATCAATATGTCTTTTCAGAGTTATTAACCAACTTCCAGGGACAATTCTTGTCATCCTTTAACATAAGGGTATTTTCGTAATTTTACCCTATTAGAATATTCTCATAATTTCCCCTCCAAATACATTTGATGAAAAAAATTATATGATGCAGATCTAAACTGATTCCTTTATCATTAAGCATAGAACTTATAATTTTAATTCTAACAATTCTCTAATTTCTTATAAAAGTCATCTAAACCATATCAGTTACTGAACCTTTTTATCGTATTCAGATCGAGTGTAGAAATTAATCAACTCCACAAAAGTGACCAACATTATCTCATTCATACATTTATCAATATTCACATGATCATAAAGCATAAAGAGGTAGTAAAGTATTACCTTGATTTCTGTGCAATACTGATTGACCATTAAATTTCCATTCGAATGCCCTCGATCTTGAAATCATCTTCCAATATATCCTCGGATCCATACCAATAGAAATTACATCAAAAACGGAGCTTAATTCTGAAAAACGGATCGAATCGGATGATAAATCAGTGAAAAACAACTTATCGGGTTCAAATTTGGTGAAACGGACTTCGGATTCGGATTCAGGATGTCGAAAGCATAAAA